TTCACAAGTCAAAACAGGAAAACTGTTTTTGGTGAGGTTTGTTTGGCTTGGGGGGTGTGTGGATGTGAGGATGTTATAAGGACAAGCTAATTAATAATCTGTAGACCATGAAATATTAGATGAATAATGAATCTTCAAAAGTGCATTTTATTAACTTTATTTGACTTTATTAGTCAAATAAAAATAATAATTATTTACTTTCCAAGTCACAAAATCCAACCAGAGCTTTTTCAAACAGCTTTAGGGGCAGCTGAAAGGATTAGGGTGCAAGAACTATATTCTAGTGGAAGTTCCACCTGTGCTTTCATTGGAAGCAGAAAAAATAACAGCCTATTTGCAGAAAAAATTTTCATCTTTCTTTAGAACAGTTTCATATCACACTGTATTCAAGGCTGAGTTCCTAAACCATTCCAAATAAAAATGCAAAACTGACCTGAGTTGGTAAATATATGATTTCTTAAACAAAAATAATAAACAATGTCTGTAATAATTTAATTATGCTAAAAGAGCAATTTGTTACTATGCAATTCCCTTGTCTTTTTTTTTTTTTTAATAAGAAATATGGCATACGGTTGGGGAAATACAAATATTTATGTTTTGAGATTCCATAATGCTTTGTGTCACTGATAATTTCTTTTATAAAGAAATGTATGAGACTACATTTTACTAGATACATGTTTTAAGATATAGGTTCAGAGAAGTTGGCCATTAATTCTGTTCTGTCTGATTAGACACTCTGAAAATTATTAAATTAATATCTTCCATCAGTGATAAAGGCAAACAATAGCTCAAAAATATTTAATTTTCTCTTCCATTCATCTTCCCGAATATAGAAGAGTAGATTGTCATAAAGTTTTGTACCTTTACAGACTTCATGCAGAAGACTGAATTTCACTCAGAAGGGTGAAAGGAGTTGAAAGTTAATTCTGCTGACATGTTTACTTCATAAATGTCAGGAAAATAATATGGCAAATGCCAGTCAGTGACTTCATCTCAGACCAGACACAATCTCCTACCCCCAAATAATCTCGTCCTTTATTATGATTAGGAAATCACTAACAGGAAGGAAAAAAAAAAAAAAAAAAAAAAAGAAGGAGGAAAAAAAGCTTTTGCAATAAGTACTTGGAAACAAAACCAGAAAGAATTTGGTCTGCACAGACAGGTTGTGCAGTGATTTGCAGAAACCCTGTGAATTTAGAAAGGCTTAGCACAGGCATATAGTGTGTTCTTCAAGGGCTAAAGCAACAAGAAAGATTACAGAGTGCACTAATTATCATTGATTCTTTTTATTATTTCTACAACACAGGAAAATTCATATTTCTTTTCTACTCTTCAAACAACCATCATAAACCAGAAAAATTTGCTGCAATTATGCAAAAAAAAAGTCTCTTACAGTGATTAAAGAACAATTATGTACAAATTCTCCTATTGAAAAAAGCAGATGATTGTACACAAGAAGTTTTGACTTAGAGGAAATAGACTTAAAATTGATGATGCTAATAAATGTATTAAGGGAATAGGGGAGAGAAAAAGAAATGGAAAAGAAACAGAAGCAGCAGTTCTAATTATCTACTTTAGTAGATAGGACTGATACTGTATGAATAAATCCCTCTGTAAGCTCATAGATAAATGTAAATCTTTCTGCCATTTCATGCATGTGGTATTTAAATAATCAGGTTTTTCCCACATGTAGGTCGAATAGAAAAAAAATCAAGGTGTATTGTAAACAATAAGAACCTATATATCTGTGAACAAAAGAAAGGCAAGAAATTCTATTTTTCTAAGACAATTCCTTCAAAATGTTAGGGTCGTATTTACATAGGGCAGTTACCTAGGGACGGTGGCATCCACTTTCACAAACCTTCTGCAAAATCTGTCCTGTGGAACGCAGGTGAAATTTGAAAACAAAGTTTTACTTGAGGTTTTCACTGCATGAATTAGTAACGAACTGTGGCAATAAACTCACGTTACAGTAAATTGGATCATCCATTACTTAATATTGTTTTTAATTTTCAAGATAATTTCATTGCTGAATTACTCCACAACAGATCAATAAACCATGCATGCAAGCAAACCAGGCTACAGGCTTCAGAAAGTCATATTTGGTTAATGACAGTAGGTTATTTTTAATTACTGTTGCAAAGACTATGCTGACTTTTTTAAGAACAAACCCCCCAAACTTGTAGTTTCCTCTCCTATGAAGAAAGCACAAATTGTTTCATAATCAAAATTAGTCAGTTAGTAACACTGCCCCTCTCTCACATGAATCTTGCAGAAATTAAACACTTTAATCTCTGGCCTAAATGGCAAGGAGGAGACCACGTGTGTGCGCTACATTGACAACATGGGTCTTGCTTTAAATGTACAAACTACCATTCATTCATTACACTAGCTAACTGTTTTAGCTAGACATGCTGAAAGAAAACCATTACCCATCTTTTTGTGCAATCCTCCAAGGCCAAATCACTAACCCAAATTGTAAAACAACATTCTGAGAAGGAGAAGTGTTGACTCAAACCTTTTTCTTAAGGATAGCTTTGCAGGCAACTGGCACCCAATTTTCAGATTCAGGATCATGTAAATAAATAACAATTATAAGTATAATGATCAATATTTCTTTTAAAAAATAATACAATATAAAGCAAAAAATTACTTTGGAACGCTTCTAGCACCCTTCAACAACAGCAGAAACAAAACCTAAAATCCTCAAGCCAAATATCAGTTAAAACCACAATCAGCTTATCAGGAATTTTACATCAACTCCTTGTGAGAGGCCTTTGCTACAAAAGAAATGCAGTCAATAATGTACTGTATGTTTTGAAAGTAATGTAAAAACCTATTTTTCTTTCTTAGTTGAGTATTCTTAGTCTCATTTCTCTGACTTCACCTGTGATCTTGACCTCTTTGTTAGCTCTCACGCATGAAGTATTTAATTAAATTTCGACAATGTCTGAATGAATTCTTAGGAGAACAATTGGTGTAAGTAATAATTAACTTAGTATTTGTTAATTTCATATCCAGTTCATTAGCATGAGTTGTAATTACTGAACAATCTTTTAAAATCAGAAAACCTTGACTAATAAAGAGTAGTCTTTCACTTTCAGAAATCTACTATCTTTGAAATAAAAATAAATAAAGACTGTTTAACACATCATAGCCTTCCCCTTTTAAAGGTTTGCTTTAGGAACAGCACAGGCAAAGACATTAAAATACCCAGATTTTGGTACATAATATTCAAGCATCTGTTAAAAACCATACTGGTGTGTGCAAAAAAATACTTCAGGTTTTACTGAAGTCTTTGACAGGTTGGTAATAACCACCTATGCTACTGTTGCTCAAACTGTAGATATACCCTCACTGGCTTGTAATTTGTACATGGAATAACATTTATCTTTTTAGTCATTTTTACAGAAATTGGTCTGGAATTCTGATTTTATTTTTTTTTCCTTACATCTGAGGTACATTTTGAACCTTTGCAAAGGTCTTTTCTCCATGATTTAATAGTTAACAGATGTACTTATATCTATCCTTGGCTGAGAAATAATTTCAATCTTGACAGTCAAAAATGAGCTCTATATGGTATTCTAACCACCTGCCCACAAGCAAGAAAAATCTGCTTTTTTAGGATGTGGTACCAGTGCCAAAGCAAGCAACTTGGCTCAGCTAAGCTGGATGAGGAATGATTGCCTTCAGTTTGATTTGACCTTGAGAAATCAGAAGGTCTCAGCAATCTGCATAACTTTGGGTGTCATCAGGGAACAGACACTGTAGATGATTTCCTCTGTTTGCACAGGAGATAATAAACAGACACACACTCTTTTGTAAAATTGGTAGTCTCCATCATACTTAAGAGCAACTTTTTCCAAACACCAT